CTTCAACCTGCTGAATAGAGGCGCCACCTAAAACGTAAACAAACATGTATCACTTCCCCACGAGTATCCACATCTATTATCTAGGAACTATGCCACAATATAAACATTAAAGATTAAAGAGGGTATAATTGCGGAGAGATTTACAAAAGAAACTTCCAAATATTTTAAATTAAATAACTATTAGCTTGAAACCATGTCTCAACATAGTATATATATAGAGGGTCTAATTGTAAAGTGTGCTACAAATTAGCATGGGAGAGGATAATGGAGGATAAAATACTTCCAAATAACAAATTTTGTAACTATGTATTACTATTAGCTTGAAATCATGTCTCAACATAGAGGGCCTAATTGTCAAGAGGGTCTAAGATTGGGTATAATTGCAAAGCTACAGATTAGCAGGAGAGGATAATGAAGGATAATGGAGGTAATGCGATCACACTAGAAAGCGGTCCGAAAGGTGATCACGTGTGAGAAGTGGTTGATGAGTCTAGTGGTCAAGAGCTGTCCAGCCACGTTATATGTCCTAAAATACAGGCACTCAGCCTGCGAACAAACAAATTGCAAAGGAATTGAGGAGCCACCACACCTGGCCAACAAGTGAACGAGGAGAGGTCAAGTGCAGGCAGCAACAACTTATGTAAGTGTGGAAGATCAGTCAAACAGTAGGCAGGACAAGGCACCAACACTTCAAACCTCTGAGGAGACGTCCGGGTGAAGGCCGAGTTGACACGGTTTTTAATTTGTACTGTTATTATGCTGTATTATGCAAAGGAATGTTTTATACACTGGGCAAAACGATAACCATTTCCAATGCAAGGCGCGATGGAATAAGAACTACGTGCGCGGGAATGAGTGTACATTGTAGTCACGTAAAATACGATGTAGTTACATTGAAACGTCGAGTAAACTCCTTTCCCTAATAAGAGCATTTTCACTTGTCGCAACAACCGGGATAAAGATAATTTTACACAGAATACATTGTAGTCACTGTACAATCATGTGACACTAGCGTGTGGGCGTGAACGTGAGTATCACCCAGAAAACCTTACCGCCTGCTGGGCTTGCTAGAGGTGATAGATTTTCAACAGCACGTTTGGCGTCGCGCGTCACATCAAGTTTACCTTTCGCACGCTGCATTGAGCCTAGTAGTCATGACAACGACATTACTTCGCAAAGTTTAAAAGCTGTGATATTTTATTTAGCCCAAAATCAAACTTTTTGGTTTAATTCAAAATCTAAGTTGTCCCAAATTGTGCTCCTGGGGAGCCAACTTTAAATTTACGGGACGGACATTTTGTTGAAAACCGGAAGGTTCTATCTATTTTACTTTTGGAGATATACCCCAGCCGGTAGGGTTTCCTGGGCAGGAGTCCTGAGTCAGGACTCTCTCGGAAGAGTGCACAGATCAAAGAGTGTCAAAGAGTAAAGCGCAGGCGCGAGTAACACTAACAAGACTAAGACAAAAGGGTGCACAAAACAAGTGCCACTCAAGTTCTTGAAGTCAGCTTTAACTTTTCTAGTTCTGGGCTCTACTGCCTGGAATTACAGCTGTACATCATACATGTTCGTTGAGTCCGGCCTGCCGCCTGAGGCTGAAAGGAGGATCATTAAGACATTACCTTGCTATTTTAAGACATTATTGGTCCGTTACTATGATCGATTAACGAATTTTGGTTTCACTTACTTTCCAAGATACAATTATAATTATATATGATATCACTTCCTTAGTGCACAATATCTTTAAAAGTTGTTCATTTTTAATGTTTATGTTGATTTCCATTTGTTTGAACTTTTAACTCAGCGCGGTCAGAGACTATTTTTGTTCTTGATGAAAAGGAATTTATACACGTTATAAACGAATGTTGTCCGTGAATTTAAATTTCAGAAAAACTTAAATTTGACTCACAAATCGAAATATTTTTAATATTGTTTATGTTGGCATAATAAAAATAATTTTAAAGATTCTCTCATACTCATAGAAATAAGAATACAAATCTACTACAGTTTTATAAATATAATTCAGTCACAACTTAATAGTATTGATTTATCACATTTGACTTCATTCTTTATGTTCGATACATTTTCCCTAGAAGTTATGTTTTTCAGGAGTGCCCATCGGGTTAAAAAATCAAAACTTATTATGATGACGTATGTAGTAATTAGTCCATTAGAGCATTAGAGACACTCTCCGTACAAGGGGCTTTCAATCTATCAGATTTACAACTTTATTAACTAAATCAAAATATCAAGCAATAATACCGCTGCAAGACCCATAATTTTCTAATTCTACACTTGATACAACCTTTACCTATACTACTAAGACTGTAGATCTAGTCCCAAAGCGAAGCAGCAGAACTTCAAATTACTTAATAGTCACACGGTACACAGACTGCACAGTAAACAGGGTAATGTAGCGGCTAGCTTGAAGTGTCAATCATTAACATTTCAAGAGCCGCTACATTATGAATATGATGATAAGCTCATTAACTTAATGAGCTTATCATCATATTCATACTTTGAGTAGAGAGTACCTTATCGGACCTTATTTGGACGGACATTACTTGAACGCTGGAGGCCCTAGCGTTCATCTTAATGTCCGTTCAAATAAAGTCCGTTCAATTAATGTCCGTCCAAGTTAAAGTCCGTTGAAATTTTTTCAAAAAGTTTTCCATTTCGAACTTTTTGTCCAGAATATGACAACTTTGAGAACTTTATTCTGCCGTAAGTTAACGACGGAAAGGTTCTCCTTGGTCTGCCGGAGGCACAGAAAACTCTAATTAAGTACTAGTATATGATGTTTTCAAGGGTTACTTACTTGGCGGAAAAAAGTCAACGAAATTATGGCACTCAACGACATAGTTGAAGTTCATGAACTAGTCCCCGCAAACATGACAAACTTGTTCCAGCCTCTAGATATTACGGTAAATCGTGTTGCCAAGGACATTGTCCGACGTTGTTATACTTATACGTATATGTAGTTCATATTACTCAGGGGCGGTAATGAAACAGTGCTAGAAAAACTCCACGTGATGACACTGAAATGCAGGACCGGGGTAGTTTGATAACTGTATAAAAAATGGATTTAAAAATCATTTGCTGAAGTTAAAAAAACGTCAAAAAAATTGAAAAAAATTCGGATTTTTGATGGTTTTGAATGCCTTCGAGCGTTCATATTAATGTCCGTTCATAATTATGTCCGTTCATGTAATGTCAGTCCAAATAAGGTCCGATAAAGTACTTCAAGTTCATTGTTGTGCATGTTATGTGTACTTGGTTAGAGATCTAACTGGATTAAGCTGGGCAGGACAATTATCTGTGAAAATCGACTCTATCCAAATATTAACTTTTACGCCTTGGTTTATTTTCTAGTCTAACAATCCCTTACACCTTAGCCGGGTGTTCCACCTGTAGCCGGGGGCTACACCTTAGCCCCCTTAGCCCATGTAAGATTCAGATCCATAATTCCACGACGAAGGACCAAATAATTAGTTATTCGTCAAAGGTTTCAATTTTAAGTCACTTACAATTGGACTGGCCAGATGTCATGCATATTTTGGACCGATACTACTACTACTAAAGTCGATTGCAAAATAGTAAATATAACCGTGATCGTCTCCAATTGGATTAGCATTAGCTGAATGGATATATTTAAGCCTTACGGTCAAAATGATCGTGACAGCCCCAAATCCAATTATCGGAATTGGATTAGCTCAAATCCAATGAATATATTAAAGTCTTACAGTATGCGGTCAATATACTCGTGTCTCGTGACCGTCTCCGTTCGAAATTGGATTAGCTCAACCCAATGAATATATTTAAGCCTACTGCAGTAGCATAGTTAGGAGGATGATCAATAAACGTCAACTGTTTTCATTCGGCTGTCAGCTCATAAACTCATGTAAGTTGCCTCCTTCCTTGATCCCTTTAAAATTGACCATCAAACTATAAGTATAACTATAAGTTTATTCTGGCACTGTGCCAAAGAAACTTCCATAAAACCCGGCCGGTTGGAACACTACTATACGTTCCGAAAACTTTAGTATTTTTGAATGAGACATCAAAATGGGGACCGGACACGAGGCCAGAGCGGTAGACACAGTATTGGAGGGCACGAAGGCGTAGGACACAAGGGCGGTAATTTTTTAAAAGGGTGGACACGAGGGCGAATCACATGAATCACTTTAACATGGACAAACGGTCTGGTTGAGGTAAAGCTTAGCTCGAAGAATTGAATCTACTCACGTGTAAATTTGAAACAAAACATAGTGATGTGACAAATAATCACCCAGTTTAAGCGAGTCAAAAATTGAGAGATTTTCCTTAATATCTCAGCCAACTCAGCAGCAAATTTTGGGGTTTGGTTAACGTGCTTAGACCAATCAAACACTGCCTAGATGTTCATTGTTCATGTGACAAACTTGGCCTCAAAATATCGCAGTCACTGACGCTACGGTTACCCGGGTTTAGATCATGGATAGTACGTACCAGGACGGGTATTTACTTTGAGTAGACGAATTTCACTGAGGTGTGTTTAGTTTACTTAATTTCAAACCACCAATCCTTTCAGTTAGAACGACCATCATTTAAGACGGTTTTTGTTCCGCATTCGTGTCCATAATAAAATGAATCATGTGATTCAACCTCGTTTCCACCCTTTTAGGAAAGTAACGCCCTCGTGTCCTCCGCTCTTGCGTCTACCGCCCTTGTTTCCTACGCCCTAGTGTCCTATACCCATCAAAATATCTCTATCTGTGTATTAGAGAAACTTCCCTATATAAAAATATTCAAGGAAGTAGGAACTTTTAGTAATCACCTGATGGATTTTGAACAATGTAATGTCATTGTAATGTCATTCTTTGATCGACTGGGACCGATATTGACATCATGCAATTGATATTCACAAATAAAAAGCTTTCATGTCTATACAACTAAATTTACGGTCTATCGATACAATAAATGACGAAAATATTTTACTATTTCAACCTATTCTGAAACTATGTCTAACTGTAACATAATTAGTATTGTAAATTAATGTCTATATCAAATCTAACACAACGAAGATCCCAATAAAAATTGTAGCGTTCAGTTTCTTCAGAATCTATAATTGGGGATATTTTAAAAGATCGCACTGGCATTTTGATGAAAACTAATTGCCTCATAAAATTCGCTTAAACAATGAACGATTTTGTAAAATGGTAAAAATCAACCCTATCCAATATCGATTGATACGGACTATTTTAAAACAACAAAACTTACTCAGTCAATCAACGTTTATTATGGAAACTAAAAAACAAATTTTTCAATAAACTTGTCTTATGTCTATACAGACGTTTTTACAACTGTAAACGAATCAATCATCTCTTTTCTATGTAACATGGTCACTTTCGGACAAATTTGTTGCGTGACACTATTTTCCGTATAATTTCTTCCGATTTCATTTCTCGAGAAGAGCGGAATTCTTTTCCTCTGCTGAGCTGGAACTTCAAGTGACTCAGGAAATCTCTTCAGACAGTGGTCGTGTTTTTGGATTTCTTTCCTTTTTTCTCACCTGAAATGTCGAATTGTAAACTACTTTGATGATGCAGAGTATGACGGGTTGAATTTCAAACTTGAAATCGTAATTTCTTAAAAAAACTTATCAGCGTTGACACATTGTTAACATTGGTTAAGTTTTTAGGTCCATGGAATGAAGATTGAAGATACCTAGGTTATTTATTGGTTTAGCTAGCGTGATTCATTTTAATTACTTTATGTTTCCTTAACAAGTTTCCAGAGTAAGTTTATTAGAATATATTAAAGGTCCCCCACACTGTAGGGCTACGAGATCAGCACACGAAACTTTTCATTAGTATATCATGTATGTGGTGTCTATAACTGCAATGTGTATTGTGCAAGGAACTATCCGTATAAACGATGTACCGATCCTTAGTAGAGGGCTAGGGTTCAACAGTCTAGACTCTAGAGTAGCCATTTAGGTGCCTAAATGTTTTTTCAATAGTTTCAACTTTTCAATAACTAGTCATCAAATAATTGTCCAGTGTTTAATGTGATTTCTCAATTCCTAACGTGGTACACGATTTCTAATTGGATTCGACTTGTCTTTACTCTTCTGTTAATTATGTTCTATATCGGGCACCTAGATGTCTTCTCGGCTTGTCACCAGGTTGTTAACGTAGGTTCTAGAACGGTTTAAAAATTAACAGCTTTATGTTTTTTCCAATTTTCGTAGTGTTGGAGAATAAAGCTTCGTATTGACAACTCTGAGCAACCAGATTTCGTGCTATTAAGCAGTAAGCTTGAAACCATGATACATTGACGTCTCATTTGTATTTTAAACCTAGCATCCAGATACCGGCTAGTAGACACCGGTTGGTGCTGGCTGGAACCGCACTAGAAGCTTTTTCACATACACTGGTTTGCCACTAAACTACACCTCAAAAGGTTCACATATTGATACGAATTACGAACACATTATTTATTGGGAAACAATCTTTTTTTATTGACCTTTTGTTCAAATGGACACACGATTTTACGGAACTTAATCGAATTGCCAAGGTTTAACATTGAGATCATTAAAATACATCATTACAAATCAATACAAAAGAGAGTATTAGTTTTTATTCCGTCATTATTGATAAGTGTTTCTTGATCGTTTCTTTCATTTCTATAGGTGCTAGCCGAGGCATGAATCTTTTCATTTTTTTAAGCACCTTGGCACTTGGATAACATTAACTGGAAAAACGCTATAAGATAATGGAAAAGCAAAATGTCGGTCGAACCTTGAAGCAGAAAACCAAATCGTATCTCCAAAAGGCAAAATCTGCGATTACCGATAGATCTTATATTGCAACAAATTACTTACCTATAATATGTGACCTATGTTGAGTTTGGTCAAGACTTGACGGGGCCATCACATCTTCTGATGACTTTTTTTGAGGAAATCAACCGACAGTCATTAGAATGGTTAGCAAAGCAGACTTTCTTAATATGAACTGTTTATAACCGACCTATCTGCACATTTAAAATAGTATAATGACAGATAATTCGTATATCCAGGATATCCAATTTTATACGTTTGGACCAATTCAAATAAAATACGGTTTTTATATATTGCCGTTTTTATATATATATATATTATATATTGCGTCACAGATGAAGGCTGTTAATTTATACCTTATGAGTATCAGAATGAGTTTTAAAAAACTCATTCTGAATTTGGAGGCTTTGATGATCGGATTTAAACATTGCTTGCAACTACCCACCGTATGTAACATACCGCATACGGTGGGTCCATGATATCACGACAGGCCCTACCGTGGCCGTATGTCTTTGGTTAAATAACCTGCAGCTGCATGCAATTTTTGAGTACGTGTTTTTCCTGTCTACATTTATCCAGTAGTATTAGATTTCTCCAGTTCATGTCCTTAGTATCCTGGCTCCGGGATAATTCTCCCAGTGCAGTCGATTGATAAATGACTTGTGATAACTAAGCAAGTCAGAATGTCAATGTACACTGAAATTCAAGAATGGAACAATAAGCTAATCCGCGAACTAAGAAAGAGAAACCCTTTTTAGAAAGTACAGGATTTATCCTAACCATCCTACATATTAATATTCAACGTAATTCTTAGAGTGCTAACTCCCTTTTCTATCGATTTAAGCGGTAAGGTTATAAAAACCATTTTATATGCATAAGATAGTTTTACTTATGAATATTGATTATGGAATTTCAGCAGGATTTGGACCCGCACAATCTTTTCAAATGCAGGGTACTTTTTATGGGTCCATTTTGGCGCGGGGCGCAGTTAGATGTTCTAAAAGTCCTCTCCTTGTTAGCATGCCACCGCCAAACGATTCGTATGGCCCTCTGGTGGCTAAGTTGCCAGTAGCTATCAGCTAATTTCAGCTTATTCAAATCCGACGATACAATGGGCTATGGGCAATAAGGGCATGGCACATATTCTAGGCTTATCATCGTCAACGCCCTTTGTTGTACATAATTTGAATTTGGATCGATTGTGCACCCTGCGAAGCTGATTGAGCACCATTCTAACTGTGTTGGAACTGCACATCAATGCTAACACCACATTTTTTACAAACTATATTTAAAAACATCTCATCACTTAAAAGACACCAAGCCCATGAACCACCTAAGAAGTCTCAAATCTCGATCTGACACGAACGTTATAACCATCCAACAGGTGCTTTAGCCAACATATCATCTTTCTGATAAAGACACATGTATATATGAACAACTAGGTTATAATGACACTCCTTCCTAGCCTGTGGTGATATCAACCGGTTTTATTTTGTCCGCTATGGAAACTAAAAGGGTTACCGTGTTAATTAAATAATGGGTTGTTTTATATTCTTAAGTAACGATGAGGTGTGCAGTGTGCACTATCTTCACAGCATCGAGAACTATACGGCATGAATAAGTGTCATGTGCTGTTTTTATATTTTACTATTTGCATTAGCTATGATATATTATTTTAATTATCCAACATGCAGTAGTATTATACCCTTAACTCTATGGTCCTCTCAGGGAAGTGGGGATTATATATATAAACTCCGGTCTGAATTAAAGAATTAAATAAAGGGTTAAATAAAGGGGTTCCTGTAATTTGACTTAGTAGTTAGTACATGATTCTCCTCTCCCTTCTGCTTTGCGTTTTGACACGCCATTACAGCGGGAGGGCTTCATTTCGTCACATGAAGAACTACAAGTATATCTTTACTGTTTACCAACAATTGGTTCTTAACTGCTCAGTGCTCTTTTAACAGTAGCTAAATGTGCAGGTGATCGACAGGCTGTTAAGGAAATGGCAGTTCAGACACAGGTACTGGAATTGTGAGCCGGGGAATTATTGTGTTGAGATAAAATAGAGTATTTTGGGAATGCAACAATTCAGACAGCATTGATTTCTCCCCAATTCTCGCGTTCATAGACCCCACCTGGTTAATGACTAAGTCTAACTTTTCGTTATCTAATCAGTATCAGTAGTAACCAGTATTAACCAGTAGTAACGGTGTTTGATAGTTCGTGTTAGTATCAGTAGTAACGGTGTTTGATAGTTCGTGTTGGTATTTGCTTTTGGAGCCAGATGCCACTAGACTTTGCTTTTTGAGTTGTATTGTTGGCGAGGTGTGTTATACTGTACCTACACTTAGTCACCTGTCAAATGTCTCGACAAGTCAACAATGGGCCGGTCACTTTGTTATAATGATCCTATTAATGAGCCTTCATCTCTCCACATACACCTCTATTCCTTATCTTGTTACGTGCTATATTACTATTATGTTAGCAGCTTGGGGAAGAGCGGAGGAATATAAGCCATTGTTTAACTGTGTCAGTTTGAGTATGAATCGTATAGAGCATGACATTTTAAAGTCAAAAATGCTAGAAACTAGACAAACACATTATTTTCACCTACGATAAATGGTAGCAGACATTTTAAATAATTACAAATTCTTTTAAATTAAATAAACACTTTGTGGTGTATTTGCGAGTGTCTAATCTAGTGCCAGATTTCCATGGTTAAATTTACACGTCCAAATATGGCCAGCTACTTAGGCCAACAAAGATAGTTACACAATTGATCTCAGATTCAACAATGGACTAAGGAACTGTTGCAGCACATTATAGTTACATAATATAGTTTCTACATATTATACCTTACGTTATACGAATATATTAATATCTAATATATATATATAGAATTACGAATATTATTTCTCGACTGACACCCCTATAGAAGGGTATTAAAGTTTATTACTCTTAGCAGCGGCCTTTATCTTTTTAAAGCCAGATGTCACAGACTATATCCACTTCAGAATAAAACTTTAAACTACATTTGTTGTCCGGTAACCGAGCAGTTCGCTGACACTGACTCTCATATTGTGATGAAACAAAATGTTGCTATTGTCATTTCCTATTACACTAGTCAATTCCTTTTTAATTATGAGTTGTAACTTGTAAGTTGAGGATTATGAAATTGTTATGCAATGGCAGTGTCTGCGAAACAATTCTTTGGATATCAATTTACTGTCAGTTTATTTTCGAAAGCCTAAATTGTGCTTCATCCATATTTATTGAGATTAATCTAGCTATTGTTTGCAATTACAGTTATTTATACTAGGATTTCAAATTTAAATGCCCACATTGCTTCTACATGTTCAACTCATGAATTGTTTGTGTTCATAACATATACTTTGTAGATTAGCTTATTCGCAATGAATTCGCTAGTAGACTCAACCAATATAACGAATATAACTGACATGGAAGAGTTCCTTCACTGGTCACCAGGTAAAAACCGCACTCTCCTTCCTTTATCAACTTAATCCATCAAATTAATTATCTCTAACGAGCTTTCAACGAGTAAACATTCAAAAAACTGAAATCTAAATGCCTTCCATTTCAGAAGTGAGACCTTTGATGTTACTGCTCGGTTTCACGGTAATTCTGACGGGAACTGTTGGTAATCTTTTGGTCGTCTATGCTTCGTTTATTCGCAAGGTAAGACAACGTTTTAAATATTCGGTTCTTTAAACCCATACCAGTATAAGAATGATTGTTTCTTTACAATCCAGGTTTTTAACCTCACATCTTAATGCTGTAACCCTGATTAAGCCTTAATTGACCCTGATAAAGCTGATTTCACAGGTTATGAAGATGGAGCGAGTATCTTTACTGTTCTTGAGATGGCTAGCAATAACAGACTTCCTGATGAGCTGGACTATTTATGTTCCTGTGTTCATTACCATAGCTAGCAAACGCTGGTTGTTGGGAGAATTTGCCTGCTTTTATGTAGGTTCGTACTACGCATGCATACATTTATTTTAAGTTCAAGTCATTTAATTAAAGTATTTAAACTCGTATCTAATTTCGATACTATGAACATAAATCGGTTCGAAACGCCCAGATTTTCCAAAAGTGTGAAACATTTGTCGGGAACATGATGCAACTATAAACCGGGAACCGGGAAAAAGTCTCTGTTTACCAATAACACAGCGTGACTTCAGGTAACATGAGTTATGCTCTGGGAGAGGTGGAAGTGTTGATCGTGATGGGTATGTCCATTTATCGGGCCTGGATGATAACCAAGTCTCGGAGCGAGAGAGGCTGGATTAAAGATTACCATATCTATGGGGCATTGGGCCTGTTAGCGTTATTGGCGTTTTTGCTGCCTGTCATTATGAATATTTTACCAGGTAAGTCACCGACGATATTTTCAACCAGTTACTAATTTTAAGGAAATTTGGAATAAAAACAAGATCTTTTATATGTAAATTCTATCCATAAGATTTCACAAACAGAATGAGTCCATTTTCAGGACCAAGTTATGCTTTCTACGACCCATACTCAGGAAACTGCCTTCCTATAGTTCAGTTCAGAAAAGAGGGAATACTTCTGGCAGGACTGTATCTTACACCACCTCTAATTCTTACTTTCGTCTGTAACAGCGTCATGATGTGTGTAATGAAGTATCAAGGTACAGCTATAATCCTTACTATAATACTTAATTTTCATTCGTGCAACTTATTTCGTAACACAATCCATCCGTCCATTACCAATGAAGTATCCATTATAACGTGCTTTGTTTCATAATGTATGTAAATGAAACTCAGACTAGAGCAGTGCGATTTGAAGTTCAGTTCGAGAATCTTTATCTATATTAGCAATTTGAAACACATATAATGTATATAAATCGCCCACATCAACTTTTATGCGCCCACTTTAACTTTTATGACAATATATATTATGAACCCTCTATTTACACTCAGGTAGAAACCTAAAAGGTAACACTGCAGCCTACCAAAAAACCTACATTACCCTTACCCTCATCTACTGGTCTATGATGTTCTCGTACATTCCTTTATTTATACAAAGTATAGCAGGATATGCAGGTGCCCAATCCCGAATATTGCCAGATTGGTTTTATTTGTTTAGAATATACATGATGTCACTTAACGTTGTGATCAACCCTTTTATTTATATGGGAACGATGAACGGTTTTAGGAGGTTTGTAGTCAATATTTTGAGTTGTAAATCAAGTGTAACAACTGACATTTATGAAACACGAACGACTTCTGCGGTAGATTCGTAGAGTAGCATGTTTGTGTGGTCCTTAAGAGGGACAATGTGACAGTTTTCATTTGAGTTTTTTATTATCGATGATATATTATACAGAGTTCCAATCCAAAATTATCTTTTTTGCGAATTCAGTATTTTAAATTGTTTAAAGACATCTATTCATTATTTTCACGTAGTTCGAAAATATCACATTGTAAAATGTCAACAAAACTTACGGACGCTGCCTCTGCTTCTCTCGAAGGGGCTAGGGAGCAGACTGTCTGACTGTAAAACAACATCACAGAAGTTGAAGATAGAAATATTGTGAGGGGCAGAGTGAATATTAGAGGGGAGGGTGGAGAACCAGGGATGATTCATTGCTTCTCCCGCGGATATCCTCCATCTTGGTGGGTACTGGGGAATGGGTGGAGTTAGAACTTTAAATATTGGAGTGTGATAATAGACAAAGGATGGGGTTAGAAGTTGGGACTAAGGATATTAGAGAATGTTTTTGGGGCATGTTAAGAGTAGAGACAAGACAGTATATACATTATACCAATTTGGTTGCTAAAAATAGCGAAATATTCAAAGCTTCAAGTTCGCAATGGAATCTCTCACCTTCAGTAGCCTATCAAGCATATTAACGCCATCTTTACAAAGCCTAGGTCCAAGTTTCTCGATTGGGTCGCCTTCACTTTTTGGCCAGTCGCCAGCGATGAAATCAGGTATTTTGTGGACTCCAGGCCACGTTGAATCTGTAGGAAGCCCTTTGGTCTGAAATATGGACAGTTACAGTTGAATTCTTCGGTAGGCAATGAGGTGCGAGACGAGACGTCGGCATTATTATTATATTGTACACAAATAAATCGGGCGCGCGCGCGGCGCGCGCACAAGCATGCGCGAAAATCTGAGTTACTTTGACATCCCGCAATGAACGCAATGCAATGCGCGCTACGTTTACGACACAATTTTCCTAATAATTTTCACAATTCCTGTCATCCACCGTCTTCACAAATTATCCACAGACTTCTCCATGTCCAAATATCCCGCCGGCACAAACACACGCACACATGGTCCCGAGTCACACAAAGAGAGACGTGACAACCCCATCCGTACAAACCACCATCATTTCGTGTTTACACTGGCAAGCAGACTTAATCCTCCTAATACATCAAGGGAAATTACATGACATGCAAGCAACGTTCTCTCCGCTTCTCCACTGCTGACGGTGTCTTCAGAATGAGCTAGTACAAAGTGGCCGAGAGAGGGAGAATCGTCATTTCACGGCTGCTAGACCAGACGTTAGAGAGACGGGATAAAGGTGACAGCCGTGGGAATAGCACGGATATCGTCCAGTTATTATACTGTCATTGATCGGTAATCAGGTCTAATGGCCAGGTCAGGAATTATTGCAAAATTATACCTTCCACTCGCACTCTCCTTGTGCAATTCTGCTGCAATTTTCAATTTACACACCCATTTTTAGAATATCGGTATGAGATGGCGAGCTGGCAGCTCAGCGCAATTAAAGTAAACGATGTCTCACCTTAAAGATCAGATATAATTCTTCGTCGACGGTGGAGCCAGGGAACAAAGCTTTACCGGAACACATTTCAGATAAAATGCAGCCAACACCCCTGAAATAGAAGATCAATCAACAGGTTTGCGTGAGAGAGAGGTAACTTTATCCAATCACATCACATTTTTTAATGAGGCATGACCAATAAGATGCCTTGATTTTGGTCAGGTGTCTAAATTGCTTGACTAAAGAGCCACGTTGTGAGGGGAGAACTGGACGGTTGGACGAGGGAGCCAATACGCCCACGTGCGCCGCGGGTTGTCTGACGTAAATAATCGACAATTAGTGGGATAAATAATTGAGATTGTAAACAACACAGGGATATGAGGATGGAAAAATTAAGTAATGTACTGTTTTCTTGGAGGGATATTACTTTGAGTTTTAAATGGTATTTGAAGTGGCGGAACATTAACTCGGTGTAAATGTCCTTATTTGGTAGTATTTTAGTGTAAGTGGTGAGTGATTCCGACATCAAAACTGTTGCTTCAAAGTTTAATCAATGAGGTCCGCCTAATTATAAATCCCAAGGGGCGTTAAGATAAGGTCACTAATGAACTCCATCAAGGATGAATTAATTGTATTCCGCTCTCAATGACCAGTTCATTTGTTCATTATCAAATATCTGCATTTGCACTGAAAAAGTGCAAGGTCAGGAGTAAACCCTTGATCGGTTTGTTGAGCTCTTGATTCATAAATACAGGTTAATAATGTAGGGTAAATAACTGACAGATTCTAAGATATGACAGTTTACTGACAGAATCAAGTTTACTAACAGAGTCAAGTTTACAGATAGTGTCAAGTGTCTGAGATGGAAATGGTCATATAATGTAGTATATATAGAGAGAAGGACCATTGTAATACTTACGGTGTTTCGAAACGAATTCGTAAAACTGCTTGTAAGGTCGAGTAATGTTTACAATTTGGTGGATGTTCTTACTCTTCATAATACGACTACTCTCCATTACGTACCAGTCATACCTTCATACAGCAGCTGTTGATAAACCGTCAGCAAAACATAGGTTACCCGTTACATAATTTCAAAACTATAATTACTCGCATTATTTTAAGATAAAGTCATGCTTTTTTCCGCTTTGGCATCTACTCAACCGAGGAATGTTGAGCTCGTGTGACTTCTAAATTTAACATCATGGTAATGTTGCAGCCCGTTAAATCCTCACTGAAGACAAAGAATCACGTACATGGATAACTAAATTATATATATATATATATCTAAAATATTTATGTTTCTAAGTACAGGATGAATTTTTGAAGCACCATGATCTTTGTAATCTTCTAATGACTTCCTCATTTTTACCAATATTTGTTTCGCCTGACTGTCTCTTGGATAATTCAAGATTTATTACACGAATAATAATTTATACCGTCCACAGATTGACGGTCCCACTCTAATATACTTGCTGAGTCCCCGCGCAAACACAATAATACACCTATCTAATAAATCTATTATAACTCTATAATGTCCTGTAAATTTTACACAATGGATATTATAACATATAGAGAGAGCGGGTGGGTGTGGTCTGATCATGGTCACTAATAATGTCATTATAGAACTATATTTAACTTCTTGTCGTTTTGCTGTGTGGTGTAATAAACTTGGATCGTCAGTATTGTTTTATTGGCTACTCACTACTGACAAGTCTTGGTTCCGTTATTGTCACAGTGACACGAGCAGACCTGCTTTTATTAATGAATAAGATTATTTGCTAGATTAAATTAATAATGGTCCATAAATTACACTTTACTATCTATGCCTAGACGTACTATTATTTATAACATTTAATACTTCCAACAGTACTATGTTACAAACAATTTAAACTGAAATTGTGATTGTGTTTAATAAAATGTTGACAATAAAGTCAATTGCATCGGTTCATTACAATTAATTCAAGTATTATCACTCGAAAGAGTTGCAAAATCCCAAAATAGTATGTACATACCTCAGCTAAAACACACAACCTGATCTCAATTGTTGGTAACAAATATAATAGATTTGTAGTGTCTTAGTGTTGATACAGTAATTATATTTCCTTATTTATTGATAATGACGTAATGTCTCCCAATGCCAACGCCCAAAATAAAACCTGTCTGATTGCAAGGAGTTTAGTTCAAGGAGTACAAGGACTAAGCGCTTTATAATCTACACTAGTGTAACCCGGCCTACGGCCGGGATTTCACTGCCGCAGTTAAAAAGGGTAGGAGTAATTACCCCCTGAGTCAAAACCCGCATTAGGTGACCCAATAGTTTCTTAAACAATAATCTCATAATCAGTTATTTCTTGTGGATAATTAAGTCATTATTAGCCATGAGGCACCACACTCCATGATCATAAGGTCTGAACACCGAGTTTTACACCTCATCACTCCCGTCTTGAACCGCTTTCTATTTTTATTTAAATCGTTATAGAAATTAACCCTTGTTAACTCCGCACCACACCCGCATATTATATTTGAAAACACGCATAACATTGTCGTATGAACTCTCTCTCTCTCTCTCTCTCTCTCTCTCTCTCTCTCTGCAGTCCAAACAGACCCCAAACACTAACAGTCCCCCCTCCCCTAATAAGCTTAAGGTATAACATTACAGCGAATCTTCCGGGCTAATCCAATTATGACGCTACTTAAATGCAGCTATAACATATTACACAGTAATGAGAGAGAGAGAGCAAGCCCCGTAACTCTTGCCGTTCTGCTCAAGCAATTTATGTAACATTTGTGGTACAAAACCATCAATTAAACCACTTACCACCGGCCGATTTAAAAAAAAATTTCCTATGGGCTTCATCAGATTTTTGTCGGCACTATACCGAAAAAACCAGTCCCGTAACTATTACCGTTTTTTTGGTATAACTGTTTGGAAATTACACACAGACACACACACAGACACACAGACACACACACATTCTGGTGTTATTAAGTTGATTCTTCAAGAACAAAAAGAGCAGCAAAAGAGTCAAGAGAGCTAGTATCTTGACTCCTCAGATAATTCAGCGTATGTTCCACAGCTCATATCCCTTCTAGATGTCTAACTTCTAAAGTTGAGTCTAATTGTAGTTGATTTCTCTTCACAATTAAAGTCAATGTCATCAGTATATTTAGTGTAAAATCTGGATTGGAATATAATTTATGAGTCGCTCTTTGAAGTGTCATGTGAAACTTCAAAGAGCAGCAATCAGGGGGATCAGCTTGTCTAAACTGATAACTATAGTGCGTCTCAGTTCAACTAGGGTGAACTGACTGTAGAAGTAGTCACTTTTAAGGACCCATACACCAAAACAGGTTTTAGTGTCGTCCAGCTCCAAGGAAGTTCAGTGATCATCTTGCGCATCATTTCCACACAAAACAAATGAAGAAGGAAATGTGCTACAGTGTTTCGCTGATATCTCTTAAAGTGAGCATCTTAGGTTATATTTTGTTTCATAAGTTGTTTATAAATAAGGCTATCTCGAGAATTTTGCACTCATAAAGAAGCTTCTAGTACTTCCCCATCCCAGCCCAAAATACCACATATTATATGAGAATTTTCACACTATCTCCGAAGCCAAAAATCCAATTTTTAACCATAACTTTAAAAGTATTAAAGTATTTAAAGGTACACGTTTCTTCGTAACTCACATATAAATGTGCAAGTTGCAGTTATTTTTTACTTATCCAGAAGTACTTACTTACTTAGGGTACTTAGCATATTCCTATCGACATCTTAAAAAATATGAAAATATGAAAAAATTAAAATATGCCTACATATTTTGTTTTTGACTTCTTGAGGGCATTAAAAACTGCGCCAGAATTTTATTTCAAGAAACAAATCAATCCGATGTTCCCTGACCGACTTTTCGGTTTAAACAAACCTTAAAAGGAAAATTCCCATTTTTTATTTTACACGAATTTTGTTCAAAATGTCACCTCAACATCCTGTGAAGTCATGTGTTGGAAAACAACAATCTGACAATCCTGCCTACCCACACAGTTTCAGAAGTTCTCAGAGAATACAACCCCATTTAATTGAGTCAAAGGTAACTTGACATGTCAATGCCAGGTGATGATATTCACAGGTGATGATACTCATATTTCCCCCTTTGAACCCGCTGACAACAATGTGTCAGCACAAGAGCGGCACAAAGCGGCATGTTATACCGGCATGTAATACCGGCACAAGAGCGGCATCTTTATAATACTTATCAAAGTTTTAATGAATTTTACATTTGTAATTAAGTTTCGGAGACAGCTTGCTGAAGATTAAATAAATAAATAAATAAATTCTAACATTTATTACACGCTTATAAAGGTAATAATGCAAATGTAGTTATCAAAGCGGTGACCTGAGCTGTGTGCTGATTCTTATATATATAATAATATATAATATAATAATGTACATATTATAGGTGTATAGGTGGGACCAATTCTTTATTCAGACAGAAGAGATTTGAATGTACGATTATGATCCAAGTACAGTACTTAGCAACGCATTTCTGAGATTTCATTTTCAGACAGCAAAGTTGTCTCAGAAGTTCATATAATTGAGTCGTGACATGGTTGTGTTTTTATACTTCTATCCTATACCATAATACTAAGTCGTGACTTGTTTGTGTTTTTATACTTCAAACATATGTCATATTGTGGCAGTGGCGTGTGAATGTGAACATTATGAATAAATACCACCTGAGTGTGTTCAACACAATGGAATAATTACCAGAGAAATATTCACAGCCAATATTATAATCGGTCCAGGCAAAAATTACATTTGAGCTGGTGAATGCAATTATATCTCCACTAGGATTAATAACTTGTGTAATTACACCAGGGGCGATTAAACGTGTAATTAGTAATTACACCTGTGGTAATTAGTAATTACACCTGTGGTAATTAGTAATTACACCTGTGGTAATTAGTAATTACACCTGTGGTAATTAGTAATTACACCTGTGGTAAAGACATGGCGTGCTTAAATTACACGTGAGACAAGTCACTTAGTTTGAAGAGAGAGCTGAGTTAAGTTTTGTTAAGTTAAGTTAAATTACTTAATGACTTAATAGTTAAATAGCGTAATTGCTCATTTATCTAGCATCGAGTAGTGGGAATTGTCTATTATAATTTATATAATAGCGTACATAGAATTGAGCAAGTGGGTGGTTTACTAAGCCCAGGGGGATGTTAAACGTGATCAGTCGGTACAAAACCTTTTGGCCCATCTCCTTTTGTCATTTCCTTCCTAAATTCCTAAGAGGGACAGTAAACTAAGTTAAGTAACCAATAATTTGTGAACCCCCAGGCAGTTTGTGTGAATATGATCTCAGACTAACTAACTATAGATCGTGCGAGGGAGTACTGTGTGCAAGTACAACAGGTAAAATACCTTTTATTGCGGATTTTGGAGCCCAAATCGCACCTGTTAGCAAGAACACCTAGATTTTGGAACCGAGCCAAGATTTTAGTTACTGCATGCATACAGTCCCCGAGAAATGGAATGTCTCAGTTATTCTGTACAATTCTAGTATTGGAATTCGGAGTACAAGAGATACGTTAAATATTTTTGGCACGTTGATCCGAATTATATAAAGTCCGTGATACATTTACATACTCGGATATCTTCTTATCATGATGGAATACTGACCAAACATTGTAATCTTACACAATCTGTACGTGAAGAGTAAGGGTGTGGTCCAATACAAGAATTAGATCAAAGACTTATAATATTTAACTTCTTGCAGCTGTTTTGTTTGTACACCATTACATTTGTACTTCACAATATTTAAAGGACATTAGCAACTAGAAAGGGCGTGTGTTAAGTGTGGACAACAGACGGCACACCCTAGTAAACCAACACTGAACACCCCCATAACCTTCTGTTCAGTGTTGATTTATGCCGATATACCCATTAGAGTTCACTGTTCAAATGTCAACATAATTCAGCACTCTCCTTCACAAATTACATCTGTTAAATCACGAACATGATGTGTTAAAACATAAAATTTGTGTGTTGCATCACGACTCATCACGAGTAACCAATACTCCTTTATAGAGGTCACGATAAAAAAGTTCAGTTCAAAATTCACCATATTTTAACAGTTTAACCATTTCATTAATCTACAAACTGTTGTGAGGTCATTAAACCGAAAATAATAAGATCATCAATAAAGTTATTAAACCAGAGTAACTTATTTTAGTTACACCCCACCTTGGAGACGGGAGTACACTGAACATACTTACTACTTACTATTTATTATTTGTTTACAATATTTAGTAACGATCTTTTAGCGTTAGATCACGAAACATAATGACCACGAGTGACCACGCACCGGTCGCACTCACGTTTTAATCACCAAATTATAAACGCATTATGTGACCACATAACACAAGCAGAGTGGCAGAGTGGCCACTCATCACCTTCACTAGTACTTCCTGCTTACTCCGCAATCTTTCCTACATCCTTCCTTTTCTTTTGTGAGCTTGTCAAGTAAAATAATATAACTCAACGGAGTAATATCCTACTTGAGTATATATATAATACTAGGAACTAAGTCAAAAAAATATTGTATTAGGTTAAAAACCGCCTGTGCGGCGCTAGAAACTTATTAAATATTTTATTGCTTTATACTCTAGCTAATATAAAACATGACTAAACTAATATTATAGTTAGAGCCACCTAAAGCAGGTAATTGCACCGTTTTATGATATTGAATTGCACACGAGATTAAATCGAGTGTAAAATGTGCTATGATTGTGAACAGTTGAATATTTCTCTCTCTCACAGAGAACCGGCCAATATCAAACATAAAAGTTTACCTTCTGAGAGTAACTTCCGAGGTTTAATGACAGGAAAATAGCACTAATTGGTCCGCCACTAATCACTGATTATAACAATTAAAAGGACAAATAACTAACCACATATCTATGGGCGTGCTGTACTCGGTGCTCCCAAGGAGTACGTCAGGAGGTCTGTACCACATTGTGCATACTTCGTGTGAGTAGGTTTTAGTGGGGACGCTTTTAGCGCGCGCCAGTCCAAAATCAGCCAGCTTCACGTCACCCCGCTCACTTATCAACAGGTTCTGGGGCTTGAGATCTCTGAAAAAGGGAAATTGTGTTAAGTTGGTACTTGATTTACAAGGTGGAGTTAGAGGTGGCGTTTAAAGGGATATATATCATTATATATATTGTACAATATCCAGTGTGGTATGATGATAATATTGAAGTGTGGTATGTGGGATTGTGGTATGTGATGTTTATGATATTAATTATTATATGCGTTGGCGGTATGCTAATATTCATTCATTTCTCCCGAGGTATTGCTGTGTTATTGAGTTGTCTAGGAGATGGTTTTTTGACGTCAGTAATTTATTTCAGGTCGTACGTTGAGAATTTCCTTTACCCCATTTTCCACCACACCCGTTCTGTCACAGGACATAATTGTGTCTGAAATTTTCAACGAAATGGATAATCGAAAATAACTCTAGAATCCATTATTTAAAAGCTCATGTACTGAAACTCTGGCAATACCACTGCATGGTTTCCTCCGCTAAGTGTGTGATACTGAAACATATTAACATCTGATGCCCCAAAGCAATACAAAATCGTACCGCATAACTCCTTCATGTTTTCAAGTATATAAACATGAGTGAGACAGTGAAACAGTAAGAGCTTATCTCGAGTTGGTACCCTGATTTACAACGTAGAGTCCGTAGCGGCGTGTCAAGGGATGTTAGCATATTATAACACTGTAGTGTGGTATGCGATGTGTATGATATGTTGTGCGTGTTATGCAGAGGTTCATTCCTCTCCATATTACCGGGATACACAGGAGGAACTTGAATCAGACTAAAACTGGCCTCTTGCCAGGTCACCGCCTTGAGAGTATGAGTTAGGTGTACCGGAACTTTATGAAAATGTCACCAATTTGGTGACCAAAGAGTTATGTGATACACCGATTTTACCTGCGAGGGAGAGAGAGAGAGGGACAGAGAAAGAGAGGGACAGAGTAATAAATGTAACCACGTATCCCATAAACCCACAATAACATTAACTTGTAGCATCACCATGCCTCTCTCTCTCTCTTTCTCTCTGTCTGGGCATATGCCAAACTCCAGCCCCCGTTCTCTCTAAATACATTTCAGCTGATGTTCTTTCTCAGAATTATAATAACATCCCCTTAGCACTTAGCAGTAACATTGGAGTAAGTAACTCGATATTCAGGCTTAAACTGGACCTAACGTTGTTAATAACATGTCACTAACTGAGCTGTTAAAATGTCCTTATATGGTCATATTCTACGGGGTTCATCGTCCGGCGGTTACCTTGCTGCGTTATATGCACTGGGGTTGAAGAAGCCCAATGCCGTGCTTTCCATATGAGTTACTGCATAGAAATTAAAATTGGTGAAGACCCACAAGTTTGTCGAAAGTTTCTTGGCACTAATCGAAAGACTGGAGTGGACATCTAAAAAGCTAAAACTACGGTACGCTTTAATATCGTTTATTGTACATGTATATTGTATAATATCATCAACTAAACTTGAGACTATGTTTCACCGGCAACAGACGTTGTGCTCAGCTATAAGGTCTAGTTATCAGGTTTAAGAGTTTAAGATCAGGTTGGGTTAGAGTTAACGCCGGGTGCAAGATCGGGAAATGCAGGGCTTCAGTGTGTCACATACTTAATCTTAACCCTAGAGACCAGTATAAAGGCGGGGTGCAACACCTAACCCCGCCAATCCCGCTAATCCCGCCAAATCCCGCGTAATCCCGCGTAATCCCGCCAAATCCCGCGTAATCCCGCGTAATCCCGCCAAATCCCGTGTAATCCCGCGTAATCCCGCCAAATCCCGCGTAATCCCGCCAAATCCCGCGTAATCCCGCCAAATTCCACGTAATCCCGCCAAATTCCACGTAATCCCGCCGATAAAAATAAAGTTAATTTTTTTTATGTCACAAATTTTACTCATCAAAGCATAAATACGAAACTCGATCGGTTTTTAACAATACGAAATGGTTTTGTTTATAACCAAATTTTGCACTTTAGTTTTCGTAAATGGCATAGATAGAAGTTTCCATACTTCGACAGGAAAACATTAGTTGCTCATTTGGTAAAGGCCACATTTATATTGGATCCCTGAAATATTCCTACAGAGTAGTTGAGTAGTTGAGTAGTTGCAGTAGCGGACCTTTCAAAGTTCATCTTGAAAGGAGATATCGATTGCAAGTATTGCCACCAGATTTTCAAAACCGGAAGTTTACTAAGATGTATTATCATTGAACTGATTACAAAAGATGATCATAATTGAAAAAAGAGGAGGAGGAGGAGGAGGAGGAGGACTAAGGAGGAGGACTGAGGAGGAGGGGGAGGACTGAGGAGGAGGACTGAGGAGGAGGACTGAGGAGGACTGATGAGGAGGAGAAGGAGGTGGATGAAGAGAACTGAGGAGGAGGAGAAGGAGGACTGAGGAGGACTGGTGAGGAGAAGGAGGCGGACTGAGGAGGAGGAGAAGGACTAAAGAGGAGGAGGACCCAGGAGGAGGATAACTGAGGAGAAGGTCGAAGGACCGATGAGGAGGAGGACAGAGGAGGAGGAGGAGAAGGACTGAGGAGGAGAAGGAGGACCCAGGAGGAGGACCCAGGATGAAGATGAGGGTGGCTGGGGGAGGACTGAGGAGGAGGAGGAAACCTGAGTAGGAGGTGTAAGATGAGAAGGACTGAGGAGGAGGAGGAGGACTGAGGAGAAAGATGAGGAGGAGGACTGACGAGAAAGATGAGGAAGAGAACTGAAGAGGGAGACTGAGGAGGAGGAGGGGAGGCGGAGGAGGACTGAGGAGGATGACTGATGAGGAATGATGAGGAGAAGGAGGTGGATGAGGAGGATGAGGAGGACTAAGGAGAAGGAGGAGAAGAAAGAGGACTGGTAGAAAGGATTGATGAGGAGGAGGATGATCAGGATGACCCAGGAGGAGGATATAGGAGGAGGAGGAGGAGGAGGACTGAGGAGGATGACTGAGGATGAGGACTGAGGAGGAGGATGAGGAGGAGGATGAGGACTGAGGATGAGGACTGAGGAGGAGGAGGAGGACTGAGGAGGATGGCTAAGGAGGATGACTGAGAGGGAGGAGGAGGAGGAGGAGGAGGAGTAAAACTGAGGAATACTGAGAAGAAGGAGGAGGAGAACTGAGGAGGAGGACTGAAGAGGGGGACTGAGGAAGAGGAGGGGAGGCGGAGGAGGATTGAGGAGGATGACTGATGACTGGTGAGGAGGGGAAGGAGGTGGATGAGGAGGATGAGGAGGACTAAGGAGGAGGAGAAAGAGGACTGGTGAAGGGGATTGATGAGGATGAGGAGAAGGACTGATAAGGAGGAGGAGGAGAAGGACTGAGGAGGAGGGGAAGGAGGTGGATAAGGAGGATGAGGAGGATGAGGAGGACTAAGGAGAAGGAGAAGGAGGACTGGTGAAGAGGATTGATGAGGAGGAGGAGGACTGATGAGGAGGAGGACTGAGGAGGACTGAGAAGGAGGAGGACTGAGGAGAACTGAGGAGGAGGAGGACTGAATAGGAGGAGGAGGGGGACTGGGGAGGACTGAGGAGGAGGACTAAGGAGAACGATGAGGAGGGGGACTGAGGAGGAGGGGAAGGAGGTGGATGAGGAGGATGAGGAGGACTGAGGAGGAGGAGGACTGAAGAGTAGGAGTAGGAGGATGACTGAGGAGGGGAGGAGGAAGAGGACAAAGGAGGATCAGGATGACCCAGGAAGAGGACCCAGGAGGAGGAGGAGGACTGAGAAGGAGGAGGACTGAGGAGAACTGAGGAGGAGGAGGACTAAGCAGAAATATGAGGAGGACTGACGAGGAAGATGAGGACTGAGGAGGAGGAGGACTGAGGAGGATGGCTGAGGAGGATGACTGAGAGGGAGGAGGAGGAGTAAAACTGAGGGGGACTGAGGAGAAGTCTCAGAAGAACTGAGGGGGAGGAGGACTAAGGAGAAATGTGAGGAGGACTGACGAGGAAGATGAGGACTGAGGAGGAGGAGGACTGAGGAGGATGGCTGAGGAGGATGACTGAGAGGGAGGAGTAAAACTGAGGAGGACTGAGGAGAAGAGGATAAGGACTGAGGAGAACTGAGGAGTAGGACTGAAAAGGGGGACTGAGGAGGAGGAGGGGAGGCGGAGGAGGACGACTGATGAGGAATGATGAGGAGGGGAAGGAGGTGGATGAGGAGGATGAGGAGGACTAAGGAGAAGGAGGAGGAGAAGGAGGACTGGTGAAGAGGATTGATGAGGAGGAGGAGGTGGACTGAAGAGGAGGAGATGACTGAGGAGGGGAAGAGGAAGAGGACTGAGGAGGATCTGGATGACCCAGGAGGATGACCCAGGAGGAGGACTGAGGAGAATGACTGAGGAGGAGGAGGACTGAGGAGGAGGAGGACTCAGAAGGAGGACTGAGGAGTACTGAGGAGGAGGAGGACTAAATATGAGGAGGAGGAGCGGGACTGGAGGAGGACTGAGGAGGGGGACTGAGGAGGACTGAGGAGGAGGATGACGACTGAGGAGGAGGAGGAGGACTGAGGAGGACTGAGGGGGATGGCTGAGGAGGATGACTGAGAGGGAGGAGGAGGAGGAGTAAAACTGAGGAGGACTGAGGAGAAGGAGGATGAGGACTGAGGAGGAGGACTGAAGAGGAGGACTGAGGAGGAGGAGGGGAGGCGGAGGAGGACGACTGATGAGGAATGATGAGGAGGGGAAGGAGGTGGATGAGGTGGATGAGGAGGACTAAGGAGAAGGAGGAGGAGAAGGAGGACTGGTGAAGAGGATTGATGAGGAGGAGGACTGAGGAGAACTGAGGAGGAGGAGGAGGAGGACTGAATAGGAGGAGGGGGACTGGGGGAGGACTGAGGAGGAGGACTGAGGACTGAAGAGGGGGAGGATGAAAAGGAGGGGAGGAGGAAGAAGACTGAGGAGGATCAGGATGACCCAGGAGGAGGACCCAGGAGGAGGACCCAGGAGGAGGACCCAGGAGGAGGACCCAGGAGGAGGACCCAGGAGGACTGAGGAGGATGACTGGGGAGGAGGAGGACTGAGGAGGAGGAC